TTCAACTCTGACTCATTGATCTTTACATGATCCCCTGCTCATGATAACCTCTGTCGTTTTAAGATTTCTGTATTAGTTCCTCTGGAGTGGGGACATCAAACACTATCATGTTTTGGGTTTTCTACCTAGTCCTATATTTCCCATGTGTGCTCTGCCCTTGTCATGTGATCCGAGTCCAACCACATTGCTGCATTTGCCCTAGATCTAAAGTCCGCATGTGAGGGAGAACATATGATTTTTGGTCTTCTGAGCCTGGCTGACCTCGCTCAGAATGATGTTCTCCAGTTCCATCATTTACCTGCAAATGATCCAGCAATCCCACTACTGGGGATATACCCAAAGGAATGCAACACAGTTACTCCAGAGGCACCTGCACACCCATGTTTATTGCAGCGCTATTCACAATAGCCAAGTTATGGAAACAGCCAAGATGCTCTACTATTGATGAATGGATCAAGAAAATGTGGTACTTTATTTCTTAAGTACTAAGTATTCACTAAGTACTTGCTGAACAGAAAGTGGTCCTTAATTCCTTCCCATAGGTACCTGGACTGACCGGAAGAGGCGCTATGGCATCAGGGGCTACAGACCCTATAGGAGGCTTGGCTCCTAAATGTAAATTCACCTTTGTGCTGTGGGCTGCAAGGCTTCCTCACCCCAGAACTATGATATCCAGCTCGGGAAATGGATTGCAGGAGAGACTGGGTGTTTTGTGGTAATGGGACCTGGAGGGGATATTGGCTCAAGAATCTAAGCTTCAGCAGCTCTGACCTTGAGGTCTTTATGGCAACTAGGTTGGGACACGTCTCTATCGACCCCCCCTCCCTATCCTCTGAAATTGTCTTTCTCTGTACCTCCTCCTGGCTTTCCCTCTACCTCCTCGTTTTGCTTTAGTCTTTTTGCCTCTCTCTCCTTTCCCTCCTCCCTCTCTCCTTGTACACTTGATTTCCTGCCTCTCCATCCCTCTTTTTCTCCTCCTCAAAGAGTGGTGGTGGGTGGATGGCATGGAGTGCACAAATTTCTTAATGCAAATTTCTCAAAGCGCCCTTCACGGTGCCTGATATATAGCAGAGTTCAACAAACGTTGGTCCCCTCCGCCTCAATTCTATACCCCGGTCACCTTCGGAGCCCTGACTGCCTCATCCCCCGGGAACCTCAGCCCACTCCTTCCCCAGGGCAGTGTCCGCAGGGCGGTGAGCCAAGATTGTGCACGCAAATGCAAACACCGCCCAGACTGCTGTAGGGCGCGGAGCTCTTGGAGCAGTCCCGGGCCACAAGGAGGGCAATGGGCAGCGCCGACTAGCAGGGACGAAGCCTGAGGCCCTGTCCTGCTGCCTGCACTCTGCCCTGGACCTCTGGGTCCGCGCCCTCCTTTTCCCATCCTTTCCTATTCTCTTCTCTCCCTGCCTCTTCCTCCTCCGCGCACTCCCTAAAACCACACGGTGGACCCCCTAGTGCAAGGTCAGTGACGGAGCCAGTTCACCGCTCCTGATTGGTCCTCACAACTCTGGCCACGCCCCTCATGACCCCACCCCTTCTATTGACTCCGCCCACCCAGCCCCAGTCTGGGAGCAGCACGCTGGTTGGTCTTCCACTCTCGAGGAAGGGGCGTCTTTGTCATCTGGTTCCTTTGATCTGGTCTCTCTTCTCGGTTCTTGCAAGCGCTTCACAGACTTCCATTCCCGCCAGGATTTTTCGGACTCTTAATGTAAAAGTTGCGTCCGCCACTGTGGTCCCTCGTACCACCTTCGCGCAGTTTTCTGTGGGCGGTGGGAACAGGCGGGAAGGCCGCAGAGGGGCTCGGCCATGCGGACGCGGAGGAACCGGGACCCGGGCGCTGAGATAACAGCAGCCAGATCCTGGAGGGGCAGCTGCCAGGTTTGAGTAGGACCGCCTGTGTGGCGGTGGGTAGATCGTGGTCTGCCATCGAAGCCCAGAATTCAAAATCTACCTCTGCCTCTTGGTAATTTTGGATACTAAGTATCTAAGGTCAAACAGCCACGTGACTGCGCGGGCTTCAGTTTCCTTACCTGCAAAACAGACAGTTGCACCCACGTTGGCAGGTGGTCCGGGACTCATAGGAGGTGCTAGGGAGTCCTTAACCCAGACTAGGAGCACAGAATGTTCTGACCCGCCCATCGACATGAGGGTCCCCTTGTCCCAGAACCAGCTATGGGGGGGTGGGTTCAGAACTCTGGTCGAAGGCCGGTCCTCCAGGCAGGAGACCCAGCCTTCCTTGGTTGGCTTTGCCTTGGCTCTGGGCTGTTGCTAGGGCCTGTTTCCGTGCCCCTCTTCTTTGCAGAAGGGGATCAGGCAACTGCCCGGGGAAGAAAGGCGGGCAGATGCCCATCTAACTGAGAGGGAGTGTCAGGCACTTCCAGACCTTCCAGTCACATTAGTTTAATCGCCCCAGTGCCTCTATGGGTACACGGTCAGAATGAACCAGTGAGTGAAATAGCAACCTATGAGAAAGATGTCATTAAATGAGTCGGACTATGCAGAACACCTAGGACATGCTTTATAAATGCCCCCCTCCCGCTACTTTCTTGTCTGTCCCCACCCCACCCTTTATTGCCACACAAAATGTTGTGATAGAAGGAACCCTCGATTTAGAGTCACAAACATCCAGCTGTGAGTCTTGATTCTTTTACACTTTAATTTGCGACCTTGGGCAAGTGACTTCACCTCTCCGGGCCCCAATTTCCTCATCTATAAAGGGAACAATGACATTGCAGGGTAGACGGTGATCCAACCCAACAGGTGGAGAAGAGCTTTGAAACAGCAGAGCAGGGTTCACACTATTATCCCCCCTCCCCCACAGCCACCTGCCTCAGGCTCCCCCTTCCCTCAGCAGTGTCAGCATTCTCCATGGCCATGCCTGGTCCTGCTTGCTCTCCCTGACTTCCCCCACTGCTCCGAGGTGCCCGTCACAGAGGCTCAGGTGGCATAGCACCAGGCCCAACACAGCACCTAACCTCCCCCATCCAGATTTCTTTCTTTTAGTTCACTATGTGGCTTTAAGGCCTCTGTCCCCTGAGCCCTGCTTTGCCTGAAAGCCCCGTGAGAGTAGCTTTGATCAGACGAAGAACCATTATTTGGGACCAGCGCAGGTCAGCACTACCCGGAGACCAGCAGGGAGAGGAAGCCAATTTAGCCCCTGTTATTTCCTGAGAGACTGGGGACAGGCTGCTTTGGAGAGAAGATGGCAGGCAGACCCCAGCCAGGATTTGGCTGCTGCTGAAGAGTCTGTCCCCCAAGTCCCTGGCCATGGCTCTTTTTTTTTTTTTTTATTCATATGTGCATACAATGTTTGGGTCATTTCTCCCCCCGCCCCCACCCCCTCCCTTACCACCCACTCCATCCCCTCCCTCTGCCCCCACCCCCTCGCTATTGGGCAGAAACTATTTTGCCCTTATCTCTAATTTTGTTCAAGAGAGAGTATAAGCAATAATAGGAAGGAACAAGGGTTTTTGCTGGTTGAGATAAGGATAGCTATACAGGGCATTGACTCACATTGATTTCCTGTGCGTGTGTGTTGCCTTCTAGGTTAATTCTTCTTGATCTCACCTTTTCTCTAGTTCCTGGTCCCCCTCTCCTATTGGCCATGGCTCTTCCTGGCTTATCTGTACATTCTCATGACAATTCCAAGTTAGTAGCTCATTCTGCCATGAGAGGCACTGGGTCTCCACCAGACTGCTGCGTCAGCCTCATCCAAAGGCAGAGAAGGAAGGGAGGGGGTGCCAGGACCCTTCAAAGCCATATCCCCCCTCCCCTTCTGAAGTATCACTGGGGCCTCAGCTCTGCCCCCGCCCATACCCCACTCCAAAGAACTCTTTAATGGAGAGTTATTACTTGAAAGGGCCTCTGACCTCCCCTTACTAAATATTCTGCTGTTTATATTTGTAGAACCACAGACCCCTGAGAGCCAGGGGTTTTACTATTAAACTATGTATCCACCAAAGGTTTCATCGTATTCCAGGCCTCTACAAATGCTTGAAGCTTCCAGTGGACTGAGATTAAGAATTTCTGTTGGGCCTGGTGGGGCATGCCTATAATCTCAGCACTTGGGAGGCAGGAGGAGGAGAACCCCAAGTTCAAAGCCAACCTGGGCTACATAGTCTATTCTATCTCAAAAAAGAACAAAAAAATCTGATTTTGGGCTGGTGATGTAATTCAGTGGTAGAACATGTACCTAGCATGCATGAGTCCCCATGTTCCATCCCTAGTAACACACATGCACACAAATCTGATTTAGTCCAACCACTTCATTATAGATGAAGACACATAAGTCCAGAGAGGGTAAGTGACTTGCCTATGGTCACACAGCATATTAGTAGCAGAGTACATTCTGAAGCCATGGGCCCAGAGACTCAGTTCGGTGCCCTTTCTGCTCCCCCAGAAAGCATCCCTCTCCCTTTTCTCCCCTTTGTCCCTTGCTTATCCAATCCTCTCCCAGGTCCCAGCAGATACCAGAGTGCAAACAGCGCATGTTCAGTGAGTACAGTCATTAGGTCAGCTGGAAGCTGGGCCAAGCTCATTTGGCTGGTTTTCCCCTGCAGGGCCAGGGCAGATGTTTAGTTCCAGAGACTTGTGAGGGGGCTAAGCTCAGGAGTTGGCTGGGCCTCTCCCTGGATGTTGCTGTGAAGTTTTAGAGCTCCAGTCTGTCACCCAGGAGGACCAAGAGAAGTGTTCTCAGGCTACAGAGAGGAGACCTGGGCATGCAGCCAGGATCTTAGCTTTTCACGGCACCTCCAGCCATCTCTGTTCCTCCTCTCCTCTGGAACCCACAATGGCTTCCTAGTGTCCTAGCATCAAAGGCAAATTCTTTCCTCTGAAGTCTCTGCTGCATCGGATGAGCTCATGTCTGTGCTGGGACCATTGTGTCTCTCCTGTCCCTAGCTGAGTGTGTGTGTAGGTGGACAGGACTCTAAGAGATCCTTTGCCTGCCTGGGGCCTGGAGCGGGATCTCACTCTGCCTCACCAGCTATCTCTGCCCCCAGGGCTGCAGTGCAATGCCTCTGTGGACCTTATCGGCACCTGCTGGCCCCGGAGCCCTGCAGGACAGTTGGTGGTTCGTCCCTGTCCTGCCTTTTTCTATGGCGTCCGCTACAACACAACAAGTAAGAAAGAAGGTAGAGGGTGGACTGTCCGTGGGGAGTTGGGAGGGGGAGGGGAAATAATATGATAACAATAAAAATAATGCCCCAGGCTACCTCTGTGCTCACTCCCGCTGATTCTCACAATAGGAAGACAATTGCCTGATGTTGAACTAAGGCCTCTGAGGCTCAGAAAGGATGGGGAACTTGCCCAAGGTTATGAACTGATAAGGGGGAAGCTGGAATGTGCTGGTCTGTCTGGCAGTTTCTCCTATGATTGACAACCTTCATGAGCCTGTGACCATCCCCTGAGGCAGGGCAGAAGTCATCAAGATAGCCATAACTTTGCAGATGACATCCCTGGGCTCACAGCTTCCAAGGCCTGCCCAAGGCCTTCCAGTATCCAGCATGTCAGATCCTCAGCAGGGGGCTGACTGGCATCCCAGGCCCACAGGTGGGGTGGGGGTGGGGCAGGAGTGACCCAGGAGCTGAGCAGATACTTGATCCCCAGGTAAACATTCACTCCCCAAGGCCCCAGCTTTTGTGCCAGGCTTTGCAGCTCCTTGCGATGATAGCACTTGCCCCCCTTAGAACTAATTTGCTCCCTCCTGTCAATGACTCAGGTTCCTGCTGTTCAAGAGAGGAACAGCTGCAAGCCAGGGGCCCAGATCGTTGTTGCTGAGGTTCCTAGTATGGGACCTTGGAGCTTAGTGAGTATGAGCCCAGAGCCCCAAGAGGGTGCAAAAGGTGACCATGGACACCAGGTGATCACTGGATCATGATGTGACCTTCAGCACATTTTCCTCTCTTATGGCCCTCTGACCTCTCATCTGAAGATCAGAGGGCTGGGTGACTAGTTATTAAGGCTTCTTCCAATTCCCACCTCCTGAATTCCTCCTCCCACCTCTACCTCCCTTCCTTTACCAGATAGATTGAGTCAACTGAGGTTGGGGATTACAACCAGAGGAGTGAAAGGGCCTAGAATGGTGACCCTGGCTCTCCCCAAGAAGCATTTGGACAGAGCAGAAGGCTAGCACAGCCAAATCAAGTAAATTCGAGCGTCTGTAACCACATCTGGCCATGGGAGGGGGCCTGGGAGAAGGAAAAGAAAGATTGGGAGAAGGGTGGCAAGTGAATGGGGTCTAAGGAGAGGAGACTTAGGTAGAAGGACCTAAAAGGCCAAGTAAAGCAAAGAGGAGAGTTTGGGGTACACAGTCTACCAGCCTACAATTTACCCACTTGGCCACGACTACAACCCTAAACCTCCAATTTAGTAGGGCTTATTTTACATAAGGAAATTGAGGCCCAGAGAGGTTAATATCCTGCTTAAGATTACAGAGCTTGGAGACAATCAGAATCTGGGAGTCAGAGCCTGTCCAGTGCTCCACACTTCATGCTGAGTCTTTCTGGTGCCCCCAGGACAGCAGCGTTGGGACTACCCATCAGAGATTCTGGCAGCACCAGGGCCTGTCCATTCCACCTCTAAGGTGATCCTCATGTTCAACCCTACCTACCCTCCTTCCCCTGTGCCACGGCCCAGTCTCAGGCACCCTGTTCTCTAACCCTAGTTTGGACTCTAACCCTGTCACACCCTCATTGTTCACCTGCCGTGAAGCTTCTCATTGCTGCTACAGTTGAGTCTGCACTCCTGAGTGGGACCTGCTGGGCCTCTGTGGTCACGGCCCTGCCTACCTTTGTTGCCAACCCTGACTGCTCCCCATGAGCACCCTCCACTCTTATTCCCAAGGGTGACTTGCCATGACCCCATACTGTAAGCATAGCATACCTTGGCCTGGACGTCAGTGAAAGCCAGCAGTCTTGGCCCTCTGAACCTTAGTTTCTCCATCTGCAGGATGGATGGGGGTGGGGTGGGGCACCCTCTGGACTCCCTCACTCTTCCTTCTGTGATCTCAGGAGAGAAGATGGGGTGCTGGTCCCTCCATGTGGGGCCGACATTTCAAGACTAGAAGACCCCTCCTTTATGCAGGTGCCCCTGCGGGTGGGGGAGGCAGAGCTGCACCTTATCATCAGACACTAATTAATTCGTTTACTGATGAGGCGTTGCCAGGACTTCTAGGCTTCTCCTAGTGCGCTCCCTCCCGCTGCATCGGCTCTTCAAAGGGATGGGAAACATTTCCAAAAATATCTACTTTCCCGTGATTCTTCAGGAGGACTGCTCAGCTCAGCAATTAAAGACAAGGTCACATCCTCCCTGGCAATGAGTCCCCCTGTGGGGACTGATTTCCTTCAGGATCAATTTGTCTCTCCCAGCCAAAGCCTGAAGCTTGGGATGGCCCAGCCTGGGGACCGGTATCAGACACTCCATCTCAAATGTGGGGTACATGTGTCAGGGGGACTCTTAAGCTGAGGGGACTCCTCCATAACCTCTACTAGTACCCCCTTTGACAAGGGCAAGTGATATGTTCCCAGTATTATGTAAGATTGTATAAATATAGCTCAGAGACAATTAATAATAAACATAACAGCTTACACCATATGCCAGGTAAGCTTCCAAGCACAGTGCACATGTTCGTGAAAAATGCTCAGTTAGCCAGGTGGGAATCACCCCCAAGATCTTTCTGTCTAGTCAGGCACCAGTGGCTCACATCTATAATCCTAGCTAAGTGGGAGGCTGAGATCAGGAGGCTCACAGTTCAAGGTCAGCCTAGGCAAATAGTTTGGTAGACCCCATCTCCAAAAAATAGCCATACCAAAAATTAGACTGGAGGCATGCCTCAAGCAGTAGAATGCCTGCTTTGCAAGCATAAAGTCTTGAGTTCAAACCCCAGTCCCACCAAAACTTAGATAAATAAACAGATCTTTCTGCCTTATAAGGAAGCTGAGAGGCCAAGTGATTCACTCCTGGTGGTACCAGGATCTGAGCCCAGGCAGAGTAGTTTGAGGGACTCTGTTCTGAACACTGCTTTGTGCTGCTTCTCTCAAGGCAGGACCAAGTACAAATCCCACTGCCTCATGCCTCTGCCCGCCAGGTGTCTGCCCAAAGCTCCTTTCTTAGCAGACATTACAAGCAGCCTCTCGTTCCAGGCACTTCTCATCCACAGCAATTCCCCTGGTTCTTGGCCTCATGTCCTAGCTGCACACCCCAGAGAATACCTTGTAATACTCAGCACTGGGGGTTGGTGTGGGGTGGGCTTAGCCCTTGTTTAGCAATGAGAAGAGTATCTGCAGCCTCATTGCCAACCCTGCCCAGGGTGCAGCTCTGCCTGGGACTTTGGTCCATTCACAGTGAGACTGAGCAGAGCTATGAAAATCCTTGGAGTTCACTGCAGCCTGAGCAGCTCTTCAGGTTAGAGAGGCCACCGCTATGCAGCCCCCTATCCTGGGGAGTGATATCAAGTCCCTCAGGACACCACCCACATCTCCCTCTGGTCCTGATGCTGCCAGCAGAGAAAGAAGTCCCAGGCTAATGGTCCTTAGGAATTCACTGGAGCAGCCTCACCTCTATAAATGAGGGGACCCCAGAGGTCACTCCAACTGCACAGCCTTAGCTGAGCCTGGCCTCTGGTTCCCCTGGGTTGCTGCAGGGCTCCAAGCCCAAGGACTGGGACCCGGCTGCTGCCTCAGCTCCATTCCAGCCCTGCAGGTCAGAAGGAACCCTAGAAACCATGGAGAGGCTGAAGTAAGGGAGGCTCCAGCAGATAACTTTGTGCTCAATTTCTCTTGCAGCCAGTCAGAGCCAGTTAGAGCCAGAATTAACTCAAGGTAACTTAGCACCACCGATGTGAGGAGGGCCCTGGGTAAGGCAGGCAACCTCGCAGTGGAGGAGATGAGACAGAATTTAGAACCTCTCCAACTCTTTCTTCCTTCAGGACCTGGTGACTTATGGGGTTAGGCAGAAGGATGGGTAAGACAGACCATTTGGGCAGCTCTGCCTCTCTCAGAGCCCTAAAGCCAGACAGTGTGCCTCACCTCCCACCCCCATCTCCTTAGAAGGTGACAGGTTCTGGCCACAGTCCAGGCTGATGGCCGCACATCCTCCCTGGGCTGCTCTCCTGCCTTCTTTCCCAATGCCATGGGGCAGTCCAGGAGCAGTGGCAGCAGGTCTTATAGTAAGCCACCATCCAAATGAGACCCACCCATGGGACATCACTGGCACACCCCTGTAACCTGTCATTTTCTGCCCGAGAGAGCTGTGCCATGGATTCCCACCAAAAGAACTCTGCCATTAGATAGGAAAATGCCACCATGGGGACCTTCCCCCCAAGACCTGCCTTGTGAGCCCCCACGCCTCATGAAACTCTGCCACGTGAAGACCGCCCATATAAACCTCCACCACGGGTAGTCCTGCCATGAGAAACCATTGTTGAAATTGGCCACATGAGCTGTCACCATACATCCTTCCCCCAGATCCTGCCCAGCCATGTGACTGTTGACTCACAGGGTCTCATCATTCTTTTTTGCTGTCATGCAGGACCCAAAATGGGGGCATCTCAGGAGAGCACCCACCACAAAATCTGCCACCAAGTAGGGCTTGCAGGAGGCTGCCCAGGCAGCTGGCCAGGCCTGTCCACAGGCCAGTCCTGCTTCATGATCATGCCAGCTCGGATAGGGATCACTGTGGCTGCATGGGCGGGTGTTAGGGAACCACTGTTTCCTTGTGAGGACCGATGGGCAGAAAGAGGCAGAATTGGGGCTGGTCAGGAAATCCAACTCCAAGCTTCACTCAATAGCCCCAGCCAGCAGGTCCTGTGGATGAGTATATGGACAGAGGAATGAGCAGACAGATGCCAGGCCACTCTTCTCTCACAGGTTCTCTTCTTTTTCTAGACAATGGCTACCGGGAGTGTCTGACCAATGGCAGCTGGGCTGCACGGGTGAATTACTCTGAGTGCCAAGAGATCCTCAATGAGGAGGTGAGCCAGCCAACCGGCCACGGAAGGGCAGGGGTGGGCTGCAGTCAGGCCAGACAGACACAGGATCCTCACCTGTTTCCATCCACCACACCTGAGAGACACATCAAGGTCCAGCCCTGGAGGCTGTGACAGAATCAGGGATGGAAGATCCTTTGAAAATTTTTAATGTTTTTGAGTAGCTATTACTTCTACATAATACAAAGTCCAAACACTCCAAATGGGAATTGAGTGAAGTCTCCCTCCCACCACCGTCCCCAGTCACTGGATTCACCCCTCTCCCAGGCAGCTGTCTGCTCAGTGTCTTAAGTATTCTGCATGGATGAAAAATTAAGTCTATGTATACTTTTTGGTTTTACCCAAACGTTACAAACACATACTTGACACCTTGCTTTTTTTCTTGTAGCCATCTATCTTGGAGATTGTTCCTTGCCAGCACATAAAGAACATCTTAATTTTTTTTACATTTGCATAATATCCATTGTCCACATGTAGCATAACTTATCTAAGCAATCTTTATATTTGGCCTTCAGTTTTTACAAAGAGTACCATCACGAATAATCTTTCGAGGGTGACAATTGACAGATGCATTAATATATCTATTCCCTTGGTGTTGCTGCTACCCTTCGTGCCCCTTAACCTGCCTTTACACCCTCTGGAGTGGGTACAGAGCAAGGGAGGCAGAGGCCTGAAATGAGTGAGCAGAGCGAAGGGCAGATGTGAAGTCACCCCAGGCTGCCACTCCAGGCTTCTGGAGCAAGGAAGGTGGTCCTGAGAATTCCTTCATCTAAAAGATCTGGGTTGGGAAGGACCTTGGAGACCCTCCATCCCATCCTGAGGGTCCCAGACCTGCCTTGTAGTAAGCATTGCCCAGAACACTTGTTTACATACCAGAGCTACATCCAATGTCCGGTGGATTGAACTGTCCAAGGAGGACAAGAGTTCCCAGGGGAACCTACTGATGGGGCAAGAGAGAGGTACAAGTCATTTACCTTATAGATGGGGAGACCTGAGGCCTGGAAAGGGGGAGTGACTCATGCAAGGTTATACGGTCAGAGTGTCAGAGCCTGGAGTCTCTGGTTTTGGAGTTATGTTACTTTTGAATAGCTAATACCAAAATATGAGAGAACATCTTAAAGGAGGAAAGATTTATTTGTGCTCACGGTTTAAGAGGTTTTGTTTATTATGGCAGGGCAGGCAGAGCAGAGCATCCAGGAAGTAGAGTAGAGCAGCACCTGGAAGGGGTCAGAGCAAGAAAGAGTCCCCAAGGATGCACCCACAGTGACCTGTTCCTCTAGCCACCCCCACCTCCGGTAGTTCCACCCCCTCCCAGGTCTACTCAAATTTTGAAACCATCAATGGATTAAACCATTGATTAAGTCAGAGCCCTCATGATCTCTGGAAACACCCACCCTTACAGACATACCCAGAGGAGTGCTTTACTAATCTCCTAGGCGTCTCTAGTTCACAGTCAAAATTAACCACCTCAAGAGTCCAGGGTCTCCTCTTCCCACAGTCAGGTACCCAAGTGAATCAAAGTTGATGAGGGGAGAGCAGCTTCTCCAAGTACTTTAGTGAGTTCCTCCCCAGGCTATTGGGATTGAGTAGCCATCTCTTTCTAGAAACCAGGAAGATGAGTTAATTCTTAGTCAGAAAAGATGAACTCTTTCACCTTGCTGCCCTGCTGGCCAGAAGAGATCCTGGGGATGTAGGGTGGGGGGCATCGAGGTATCTCAAGTCCATCCAAGACTGGACTAGGTTGGCCCAGCACCCTGACTGTCAGACTTGAGCGCAGAACATTCACTGTGAGCCAATCTGAGCAGGCTTGGGGCAGGGGAGGGAGACTCTCCTGGACTACGGGACAGAAGGGGGCTCCAGGTTAGGAAATAGGTTAGAGATGATGAGCTTGGGTAGGGTTAGGCTGGGCTGGGACTTATTCCCTGACACATGGTAGAGGAAACAGAGAGAAGAAATGGGGCTTGTACTCAGAAAGGCAGCTGAGTGCTGTGGCAACTCTTAGAACCATGGCTCCTGCCCAGAGTGGGGTATAGTGGGGGAGGCACAGGTGGGCAGGAAGTCTTCAGGCACCTCATTGCACTCACCTGATGCTCTTCTAGCCCTTCTGGGTCTGCAGATCTTGAGGCAGATGGTGCCTCACCACCTGCAACGCCATTGGACAGACAAACCCTCCCCCCATCATACACACACTCAAGGGCATATGTCTGTGCCCTTAGACATCGGTATAAGCTGGTCCACAGCCTCTCCCACCCCACCCATGTCCAATTGCCAGAACCAAGTCCTCATGGGTCCCCAGATCATCTACTCTAATTTATACCCCTTCCTTCTATTTGGCTGCTGGCAATACTCAGTAGCCCCCCCTTTCCCAGCAGCACCCTTCAAAGACTCAAGGGTAGCTCATTGGCTCTCCTTAGCACCCCCCCCCCGCCCTGTTGCTGCCACCCCTGTCCAGGATGGGGGGGTCTCTCCCTCTCTCCACCAGCAGGGTTAGGCGAGGATGGATGGGGACATTGCTTCTTATGACTCCCCCTTTGGTAGTATAATGGGAACACTGTGAACTTGGGGGGCAGACAGTTTTGGACTTGAGGCTGCTGCCAATGCTTCCCCACTGTGTGACCTGGAACACATAGCTATTCTCCCCCAAGGGCTGAGAATAGCTCAGCTTCGACCTGCTGGTAGTAGGAGGGTACAGGTGGCCCTTGCCTTTGGGGAGGAAGCTCTATCTCACCTAGGAGGTCAGATGTGGTGGTCATGCACACCAGGGGCAGAGGAACCTGTAGTTCCTCTGTGTGAAGCTGCCCTTCACACACATCCCCTTCATAACGCACTGACCCTTCCCTACCTGGCTCACCTCTGCCTGGCTTTGCCGCCCCTTCCCTGGCAGCCATTGCTAGCCTGGTTGCCTCTCCACTCTGAGATCAACTCATTTAATGACTGAAAATCCCATCTCTTCTGCCAACCCCCAGCCTTGGACCCCTCCCCACTCCAAGACCCGCCCCTCAGCTGCTACCAGGCAAGTTTCCAATTAAATGAGTGGCAAGTGTCTCAATCCCACCTGGGCTGAGCCTTAATTAAGCATCTGTGCCCTGGGGTACTGCAAAGTGATAGGTTTACCAATGTCTACCTGTGAATGGGACTGTTGAGGGTACCCGGAAGCCAGGTGACTGAGGAAACCCACCTCCACGTGCACACACATCACCAGGGAATATGTCCTACACCCTGCTCCAGCCTCCAGTGGCCTACCCACAATACCTCCCTCCACTGCAGTAGCCTTACCCACTGTTCCCTGCTCCCCTACATTTGCACACACTCTGTCCGCTCCCCCTCCCCGCACTCTGTGGAGCACAAGGAGTTGTGAGCCTTGAGCACATCCTGAGGGGACACGCCACCAGGACACAAAGAGACTCTGCATCCTGCGTGGGGCTTAAGACCCTGTCTTTCAAGATGCCTGCATGCCTCTGGATGCTGCTGTTGCTATTCGTGCTTTGAGGAACAAAGGGCTGAGGACCCACTGTGGAGTAAGGGGAGCAACTCAAGAAGCCCAGGTGGACAGGAAGAGCCACAAGTGGCGTGAGCAGGGATGGGGAGTGATCTGAGGTGGGGACACTTGGAAGGAGTGGTGGAGATCTCATTGCTGCCGTCTTGGCAGGACATCAGGACAGCTCCAACAGCACCAATACTTGGGACAAAGTGGTGACTTGCTGAGTCTGGTCAAAATCAGCCAGGCAGGAACTGCTTGTTAGAGTCTCACTGAGGGCACAGCACAGTGGTCTCTTCCAAGCACCCCACTTAATCCACTTTCCTCAGTGAACCTGCTGGTCAGGAACAGAGCCTCTGTTGGTCAGGCCCCCTTGTCTACCTGTCCTAGTCTGGTTGCTTCTGTAGTTCTTGATGGCTGCCTCCTAGCAGTCACTGTCTCTGGATATCTCTTGGAGGGTCACTGGCTGTCCCTTGGCTGTTTTTTCCAGGTGTCATTGACTACTCTTTATAGAGTGCTGCTGGGCTTTCTCTTGGGGTGTCATTTGTCACCTCTCAGGGTATTGCTAGGGGTCTCTTAAGGTACTGCTGTCTTTCTAGACCTCTGGTTGTTTCTGGAAGTTTCTCAGAAACTGGTCTGTTTCTTTTATGTCAGAAACAGAAATTGTCCTGACTTGGGTGTTTCTGGATGCATTCATCTCTCGGGGTATTGGTGACTGTCTCAGTTTGTTTTGTGCTGCTGTAACAGAATACTGGAGACTGGGTAATTTACAATGAACAGAAATTGATTAGTTTATGGTTCTGGAAGCTGGGATGTCCAAGGTCAAGGAGCTGGAATTTTCCAAGAGCCTTCTTGCTTCGTCATCCTTTCAAGGAAGAGCAAAGAAAGGGCAAGAGAAAGCAAGTGGGGGCCAAACTCATCCTTTTATAGGAAAGCCACTCCTGAAATGAGCACACTCCCACGAGAACAGCACTAACCCGTTCATGAGGGCAGAACCCTCATCATCTGAAAGTATCTCTCTTTTTTTTAAATTTGGTGGTACTGGGGTTTGAACTCGGGGCCTTGTGCTTACTAAGCAAGCACTCTCTACCATGTGAGTATACCCCTAGTCCCTCTGAATGCCTCTTAAAGGTCCCACTTCATACCACCTCTGCTGCATTGGGGATCAAGTCCCCCATGCGAACTGTGAGGGACACATTCATATCATAGCAGTTGTCAACTCAGTCTGTCTGTGCTCTTGGGGGACACTGTCATTTCTCTAGCTGTCTTTTCAGGCTCTCAGATTTCATCAGGCCTGTGCAGCAAGTGAGAGACGGAGCTTAAACCCACGGCTCGGGAAGTCACAAAGAGCCCCTGCCTCCTGGAACGTTTGTCCCCATTCTTCCCTTTCAGCCTCTGTGGAGAAAAGCTCTCATGAGTCCCCGAGGATCCTGAGCCCAGAACAGAGGAGGCAAGCACCAGAAAGTGACTCTGTTTCTAGTCCCTGCTTTGTAACCCCAAGAAAAGCACCATGGGTGCAGGGAAGCGAGGGATTTTAAAACTAGCAAGACCAAGGTACCAATTGTTGGCTGCGTAGCTTAACTGATACTACAGACTCTTTAACTGGAAAAGCAGGGCTGCAAGTACCCACCTCAGAGCCCAACTGTGAGAATGAAAAGCTATAACATTGGTGAGGGGCCAGTGCAGTGCCCAGAATACAGCAGGTGCCTAATAAATGACTCCTCCCTACCCCAAACCCAACAACCCAGGTACTTGCCAACTGGGGTCCAGAGTCCCTGACAGAAGGTGTTTTCTGCCACCCGGCTCACTGGGCTGGCCTGGACCTGGGAATGAATGCCTCAGCTCTGCAGATGTTATTACCCAGGGGCTTCTCAGCATCGATTTGTGGAAAATTTAATAAAAGGAAACCAAGTGCCCACTCCAGATAGGCTCTGATGTGTGCGGATCTTTGGGAGTCTCTGGATAGGCTCCTTGCATCTGCCACAGGCACTGCATGGCAGGCTGGGCCCCCTGCTTTGTTCCCCTCTCTGTCTCCCCCTCCTTGCCTTCATTCACACTTCCTGGGTCCCAGCCTGGCTGAAGCCTGAGCCGTTCATGTGATTTCCTGCCATGTTTCTGGATGCCTATGCCCCAAGCCAGTTCTTAAAACAACTTGCTGGGCTTCCTGGACCACGTGGGGGCTGGTGTGGCCAGAGCGCTCTGGAGGGCCCCTCTGGGATGCCAGCTAGGTGTCCTGCTACCGAGGCATGTCCCTTGTTCTTGGGTGAGTCTGGGCCTCAGTTTTTCATCCAGAAGATGGGCAGGACAGAAAGGCCTATGGAAGGCCAGGAGTTCATCAGGGGCTCTGAAAGGATGAACAGGCCTCTGGGAACCCAGCTTTCTGGCACTTCGGTATTGCCAACTTCTGTGGACAGTTACCCCTCAGCCCAGCTCAGAACCTGTGAATGGTGGTAAGGGAGGAAGGTACAAGCAGGGATCCCCTTCTCCAAGCCAGCAGCTTTTCCACTTCTCTTTCTGCTTCCTCCACTCAACACATAGTTATAAAGCCCAATTGTGTGCCAGGCTCTGGGTTTCTAGGCCCTGCCTTCCTGGGATCTAAAAAAAGGTGGATGGGGGCTTTGGGCTCTGGGGGGAGGGGAGGAGTCTTCAGAGAGCTGGGCACTGGTGACCAACTAGTCCCCCTTTATGGAGAAGAGACCTGTGTGTAGCCTTAGCATCTTGCCAGTCTGCGTGTGCAGGTAAGGGGCAGTTGGGTAACCTTGAGTGAGTCAACATACCTCTGAGCTTTTTTCTCCAAAATAAGTTCCAGATGCTCTTCTGACTCCTCCCCTAGTGTTGCTTTGGAGGTTTGAGGAGATGGCAGATAAGAAAACCCTCTGTGAATGAGAAGGTTTCCTCACTTTTGGAGCTTAAGATTATTAGAAAGAGGGCACAGTAATTTCCATTCATATATTCAATTAATTTAGAAACAAAATTAGCAAAAGCTAGGGATATATATAGCTCAGTGGTAGAATGCTTGCCTAGCATGCACAAGTCCCTGGGTTCCATCCCCAGTACCGCCAAAAAAGAAAAGAAGTAAAATTACGGAATTGGAGAGATCCCATTCTCTTGGAGCAGCTCCTGGGCCAGGGGAAGGGGAGGCCTTGGGAAATGAGAAATGGAGCCTCCAGGGGAGCATGTGTAGCATCTACCCTTTCCATCACTGGGACTGCTCTTCCCTCTCCTGGGGAATAGCAGCAGGCTGCATTTGCAGCAGGGAACCAAGGGTGAGTCAGTGAAGACTCAACTCAGAAATGGGTGGAAACAGGTCCTAGGGGACCAGGATCTCTGCATCCACTGAGGCCCCTGGCATTAGGACAGAATGGGAATGGGGGCACCTGTGAGCATGAGAGCATACACTGGGCAGGCACAGATGTATGTTCATGTGGCATGGTGAGCTGTGTCCACAGTGAACAATTAAACCCATATCTGGCACAGTCTGGGATTCAGGAACAGAGCAGCCTCAAGTGGGTGGTGATACTGCAGGGAAGGCTTGACACACAGAGGGGGCCAGGAGCAGAGAAGCCCTGTTACTGTTGCCCACTCTGTCCCCACCATCCCGGGTGCTGTCCACACAATTGCTCTGGTCCAGTTGGCACAGGGGTGCAGCTGTGGGGGAGCCTCATCTTTGCCTCTCTCCTCCTATAGAAGAGGAGCAAGATTCACTACCATATTGCCGTCATCATCAACTACCTGGGTCACTGCATCTCCTTGGTGGCCCTCCTTGTGGCCTTTGTCCTCTTTCTGCGGCTCAGGTGAGAAGACTGTGCACTGCTTCCTGCTATTCCTGGGCCCTCGAGCAGTAGGGAAGGAAGAGGCAGGGGTAACTCTGGGATGGGGTTGCTAAGAACAGATGTCCTGTCTCTGTCCTCAGTGGGAGGGGGCAAGATCTAATGGAGTCTCGGGTTTCTTGGAACCTCTGGCAGAGCCCTCAGAGCTCCAGAAGCTGCTGAGGGTACAGGGTGGAGGAGGACACAGCACAGACTTACCTGTGTCACCCACACCTAGGCTGGTCTGAACCTATCCAGGGTGATCAGGCAGGTGGAGCCCTAAAGGTGGAGTGGCAACCCACTTTGAGTTGGAATGTGCTAGGACCTGAGTAGAATGGGAGCAGGAGTGGAGCATCAGGGCTGCAAGACAGGAGGGGACTTCCCGTTGGAGGATTTGCTAACTCTGACTTGTAGTCCTTGCACTGCAGGGATTGAAGGGGGACCCTCAATAAGAAGCAGGTTCTTCCCAGGATATATCTGGATGGCCACAGTTGTGAAAAGCCCCGTGGGGCATCAGGAGAGTCTTGTGGCCACCTGTCTGTGACCTAGCCAGCCAGCCCCACTCACGCTCAGTCTCAGTTCCCCCATCCATGAATCCTGACTGGAGTGATGCTCAGTCCCTCATTCTCTCTCTCCTGTCATCTGCCTGCATGGCTCCCTCCTGCCCCAGGAGCATCCGGTGTCTGAGAAACATCATCCACTGGAACCTCATCTCAGCCTTCATCCTGCGCAATGCCACGTGGTTCGTGGTCCAGCTCACCATGAGCCCCGAGGTCCACCAGAGCAATGTGGTATGTCCTAGCAGGGAAAGCAGGACAGGGACAAGTCCAGGATCAGAAGAGGAGCCCAGGTGGTGCTGCCCTGCTGAGAGTCCCCAGCCAGGCCTTGGTGCCCATAAATAGAAGAAGGACCCTAAGGAGACACAGGGTGGGGTGCTGCCCCTGTTCCCCTTCAATCCCCTAATCACTGACACCTCTGTTGGGGGGGGCAGGGCTGGTGCAGGTTGGTGACAGCTGCCTACAATTACTTCCATGTGACCAACTTCTTCTGGATGTTTGGCGAGGGCTGCTACCTGCACACGGCCATCGTGCTCACCTACTCCACCGACCGGCTGCGCAAATGGATGTTTATCTGCATCGGCTGGGGTGAGCTAGGCAGGCCTTGGCCCAGCCTCTCTTCATCCAGACAGGCTAACGGGCTAGGGTCTAGGAGATGGAGGCCATGTTGGGCTGGTGGTGTGTGCACCCTTCTTGGGGTGGGGGTGACAGAGTCACCATGAAGGAGGCATTTGAGCTCAAGCTCAATCCCCAGAAACCCTGCTTCCTCTAGGCCCTGGGCTGCAATGGGGTTCTCCAAACCTGGCATCCCCCAGCATTGGCTGAAGAGCTCTGTGACAGCCCATCTCTCTCCCAGGTGTGCCTTTCCCCATCATTGTGGCCTGGGCCATCGGGAAGCTGTACTATGACAATGAGAAGTAAGTCACCTCCTTCACCTTCCTGAGTTCTGAGGTCGAGGTTTCCAACCTGGCTCTTGCTGGACATTCCCCAAGGGCCTTGGGACATTTCACTTTCCTGTTAGAACCTCAGCATCATTTATTTATTTTATTTGCTTGGGGAAGGAGGAGAGGCTGCTACAACCTACAAAGGCAGAAAGGTAGGGGCTGGGCTCACTCTGAAGGACCTTACCACTGTTCTGCCAGAGGTAAAGCTAGACAGGTAGGGTCCTGGTTCCTTTATCTCTCTTGAGCTTCAATGAGAGCAATCTCTGCAGCTAGGCTCTATCATTAAATATCTGCTTGACCTTGGGCTAATTACTACAGTGTGCCTCAGTTTCCTCATCTGCAAAATGGGCACCCCAATAGCACCTACCTCAGAGGGTTGTGGTGGGATAACATCACTAATAAATACATATTAAGCCTGTAGATTTGTGTCTCACACATAGTAAATGCTAACTAAATATTTTCTATGCACATTAAAACATGCTTTAACAAGAAGATTCCATTGATCTCACGAAAACAGGTCCAGTTGGTTTCAGAGGCTCCTTCCAGCTCTGGAACCTTCCTTGTGAAGGAGAGTCTTGAGTTCCCAGTCATCCCTGAAAACTAGACTTTATCTGCAGGGCTTCTCAACCATGCATCCTGAGAATCACCTGGGAAACACTACAAAGTGCAGATGCCCAGCTGCACCCCAGATAGCTGGATGCTCTGGATCCTGGGTGTGATCTGGGAACTGGGATTTTTTTTTTTAAATACCCACCCAGATGAGTCCAGTGTGCAGCTAAGACTGAGACCCTCAGAGAGGAAGGAAAGGCAGCCAGGAGGGAAGCCAGGATGGCTACCAAATAAGTATCCTCAGGACAGAGCTGTCGGGTGGTCTGACTGCGGGTTCCAGTGGCAGCTCCTCCCCTCCCCCACAGAGCGGGCATGCACAGGACCATGAGAAATTATCTGCCACGTTTATGAGGAGGAGGCAGGGCTGGGTCTCAGGGCGGGAGTATGGGAAACCCTGGGCAGAGGTGCCTGCATCTGCAGTGTGTGTGTGTTGGAGGGAAAATGATTCCTGGGCTGAATAAAGGGGTCTGCACAGCCCTGATGCTCTACCTGGTGATAAGATGCAGACATTGCAGAAGAGTTCTCGCTGTGGGAAATTGGAAAAAACTTGCCCACCAGAGAAAGGCCCAAAGGTGGATCTGGCCCACAGATAGCTGCGTGGTGTTTTCTGAAAACTTGATTTTTGTGCCAACCTTTAAAAAATTAAGAGATCTCACATAAAACTTTAATTTCTGGTTTATGGCCACAACGTAAGATCTAGTTACTGTAGTTCTATGTGATCAAAAGGATACAGGACTTCCAGTCTTCCCTGTTCCAGTCTGCCCTGTCCCCACCCACTCCCTGGAGCTTGCTGGAGGGCAACTTGGGACAAAGCAAAGCAATTCTGCCTCCTGCACCAGGCAGGTGGCACCTGCGAAGTTCTCCCTTTAAAGGTTCAGGCCACAATTGGACAGATTCAGACAAGGACTGCTAATTGTTGGATGTCTACTCCACCAGCACCCCAGTGGGCTTGATCAGCCACAGGCACCACCTGGGGGCCACAGAGAGGGGATTGGACTAAGGAAGCTATGCTGTGTTGGGCTCTGGCCTGTTTCTGGACCACTCCATGGCTTTTTCCACAGTCCCGCTCCCTCCTCAGTGCTTGCTTCCAACTTCCCACCCCACAACAAAGAACACTGTCCGCTTCACAGGTGGGATAACTAAGGGCAGTGCAGTGGGACCAACAGGCCTGGCCTTCTGCCAGGGCTGGAGTCGGGGCACCCACATCCTGGCGCTGAGCCCAACTGTGCTCTGGCCAAGCCCTTGGCCCTCCCTGTGCCACTGAAACTGAGTGGATGATTCCTCCTTCTCTGGCATTCTAGGTGCTGGTTTGGCAAACGACCTGGGGTATACACTGACTACATCTACCAAGGCCCCATGATCCTGGTCCTGCTGGTAAGAACCTGGGTAGGGGGCAGGAGATAGGTCACAGTGCCTGCCCTAGATAGAAAGGACCCCTTTGCTTAGATGTGGGGCTTCCCAGAGGGAGCCCCAGGCCAAGAATTAATGTGAAGATATTCACTAGGTAGAGGGAGAGCAGTAGGGGCATTGAGAAGGCTGAGGGCCTGGCCTATCTGTTCTAGCACCCCAATCCTGCATATCCCTGCTGCCCTGTGCCCACTGTGTGCTCACATTGCAGATCAACTTTATCTTCCTTTTTAATATCGTCCGCATCCTCATGACCAAGCTCCGTGCATCCACCACGTCTGAGACCATTCAGTACAGGTACCAGGCTCCCACCTGCCCCACCCTGGGGGCTTCAGTGCTCCCAGCCTCTGAGCCAGAGTCTTCCTCAAGGCCTGGAGATCCTCCTGGCACTGCAGCTCCCCCTGCCTCAAACACTCCTGAGATCTGCCACCCTCCTCCCCCAGACCCACCCTCTTCACGGAGCTAGAGCTTGCCCCTTCTGGGTGGCCTGTGACTCTGGCCCCACCCCCCCATCCCAGGAAGGCTGTGAAGGCCACACTGGTGCTGCTGCCCCTCCTGGGCATCACCTACATGCTGTTCTTCGTCAACCCTGGGGAGGACGAGGTCTCCCGAGTTGTCTTCATCTACTTCAACTCCTTCCTGGAATCCTTCCAGGTACAGCTGCCCTCACCTTGCTCTGCCCAGCTGCCCGCTCTGGAGGGGCCAGGTGTGCACCTGCTTAAGGGGGATTCTCCTGGCAGAGGCATGAAGGCCCTGAGACTGGGAGAGGCTGGGCAGCCACACTGGGTGGGGCTCCACCCACACAAGCCTCTGACTGTCCCTTGTTGCTCCCCTCCAACCTCCCCAGGGCTTCTTCGTGTCTGTGTTCTACTGTTTCCTCAACAGTGAGGTAAGGACCTGGGCTAGGGCTGGGCTTAGATTCTGAGGCTATTGGGACTGGAGACTGTTCCCCTCCCACCTCCTCCTGCCCCAGGGCTGGGTCTCCTCCCTACCCTCATGTCCCCATGGGATGCTGCTGGGAGTCCTGGGAAGGTCCCTGTCCTTACCCATCTACATCCACGATTTTAGGCCTGTTCTTTTCCCCTAGGCTGTTGGCATGGGGTGGGGGGTTTCTGGAAGCTAAAACTTTCAGTCTGTCTTTTAGAGGAGCCTGAAAACTGAGGAGGCCAAGTCCTGGAGTAGGAATGAGGGCGCTGTCTGGTAAAGGCCAGATAGTGCCTTGATGTGGATTAGAAAATTTTCTCACTTGAGAAAATTGTTCCAACAAACAGCAAACCAATAGTGTTAACAATGTGAACGTCGCCCCCTTCTGGGAACTCTGTGCACCACACACCTTGACTGCTGATTGTGGCAACCCAGGGGAGAGAGCCAGTCCCGAGCCGCGGGTTCAGTGGTCGCACTCTGCCCCATGTCCACAGGTCCGCTCTGCCATCCGGAAGAGGTGGCATCGATGGCAGGACAAGCACTCGATCCGTGCCCGTGTGGCCCGCACCATGTCCATCCCCACGTCCCCCACCCGGGTCAGCTTCCACAGCATCAAGCAGTCCACAGCAGTCTGAGCTGCAGGCCACGAAGTGGCCCTGAGACCTGAAACTGAGGCAATGACAGTCCAGCTCAACTACTCTGTCCATGGAGGCGACAACCTTCCCACTCCCTCTCCCCCACCTAGCAGTGGCTCTGAGAGCCTGGGAAGGCCCTACCCCAGCCCAGCCCAGCCCAGCCCAGCCCAGCAGGAGTTCTGGGCTAATGAGTGGACAAGAGCTCCCAGCACTGAGCCAGGCCCAGAGCCTCTGGCTTCTTGCTGTCCCTATCTTCCCTTGAGAATGGAAATGAAAATGGATGGAGATGGGGAGCTGGGTCCTTTGAGAGCTGTCTTCTCCAAGAGCACAACATGACCAGCCCACTGGAGATCTGGGGTCCTCAGCAACTGTGGGGAGGCCACATGCCACCCAGGGCATCATGGGAAACTCTCATGACAGCATCCCAGCACCATGATGCCTCTGGGCCTTAGCAATGCCTTTGGACACCACTGAGAACCAAGGCCATGTGGTCTGGTCAGGAACCCTGGAGATATCATTAGAAATCAGGTGACATCATCAAATATTGGGCCACATCACTAGAAATCACTCCACCCCACCAGAACATCATCGACACTGTGGCACTGCCATAGAAATGCCCTGCCTTGCTGCTTTGCACCCTTGGACATATACTCCCCTGCAGGCCACTCTGGCTTGCCCTCACTTCCCCACCAACAGTCCCCTCACCTTGACTCCTCTGCCACCTCCTGCCTTTGGGTATCTCCCCATCTGTGAGAAAATGGAGGGCTAGGAGTGTAACTCAGGGGTAGAGCACTTACCTAGCATGCACAAGGCCCTGGGTTCGATCCCCAGCACTGAAAGAAAACAAAACCAAAAATTTCTTGTGAGATGGGAGCTGGGCTCTGAGGGAGAACTGAGGCATGCCCCAGCCTCCCTTTGCAAAGAGAGAGACCTTTGGAGTCTTTGGCCTGCTGGCTTCAATGGCTGGCCTTGGGGCAGGCTCACTAGCTGAGCGAAGAGAGAAAGGAGGCCCTCTCTGCACAAGTACCCTGGACCAGGAAAGGTGTCTCCTCAGGACAACTAGCTGGCAGAACACTTACCCCAGATGTGGACTGACCCAGACCCCTATAACCAGAGGGTTGGGCAGCCAGAGTAGGGCGGGGGAGGCACTAGGAGATGAGGGTATCAGCTGTGAGGAGGCAGCTGATGTAAATAATATTTATCTTTTCAACCACATTTGTGAAGCCTACATTCTGCTGGGGCTGGGCGAGGGGTATCTCTGACACATCCTTGGGACAAGGTTTCTAGGACAAATTTGAGAGGAAGACAAGGAGGGTGAGACTAGACAAGGAGGGTAGCAGAAAGGGTGGGAGACACACCAGCACCACTGCAGGTAGCTGGAGCTTCATTTGCTGGGGAGCTGGAGTGGGACCATACCCACCTCACCTGAGATGTTGATCCACCAACTCCTGTCACTCACTGGTTGAGGGCTGCTTCCAGGGGACATTAATGTCCTGCAATTCCCCCATCCATGCCAGCCACTGAAAGAGCTCTCAGGCCAACGCCAGCATGTACCACACTGTAAGGGCAGTAGGGTGTGGGTGGGACACCAGATCTCCACCAGGGTGCCTGGATCTAGCCTCTGGGTCTCTGGTGCGCTCGCATGCATGCCTGTGCACATGGATGCATAAAAGAGCATGTGGCATCAGGACGCCAGGGACAGACAAAGATGACTGTGATTCTGAGAGCTCCACAACTTCTGCCAGGGGAGGGAAAACCTGAGGTGTTCTTGAAGGCCACATGGGGTGCCCTGTCCTGAGAATTCTCCAAGCTCTGCGCCCTTACGCAGAGATGAGGAGGGAGACCCAGGAAATGGCAGGACAGGGGTATGGGCCAATGACTTCCAGAAGAATTTGGGGTAGGAGGTGGGGGCAACCTGGGGAAAATGGGGGATAGCCCTCATGGCTGACATGAAGAACCAGAAGTGACTAATGAGTGCTAAGTCATCACAGCTGAGACACTGTTCACTCTGTCTCTCACCCAGCGCTGGAGGAGTAAGAGAGTCAGGCTGTCTCTGGACCATGTTGTGGGATGGGAGTGCGTTCCAAGGACACGGGAGGCCAACACACAGACCAGGGGCGGTGCCGGGGCACCACTGTGGCTCCTGGTCGCTCCAGCTGTTGAGCACTTTCCAAGCGCCTCCTGTGTGGGAGGGGAGAGGTGATCAGCAGCTCCTGGACAGATGCCAGGAACCTATCCAGAGCCTCTGGTTCTGGAGGACTGTGGGAGCTTGTGGTCATCAGAGAAGTCAGAGGGGGTGCCTGAGAAGGCCTGGCCTCCGCCCCCCGCCCCCACATCCAGAGACTGCAAGGAAGAGCAGCTGCTGGACCTAGACCAGGCATCTGAGGCCATTCTACTACAAGACTGAGCTCGTGGGACAGGGAAGGAGTGTGTGTGTGGAGGAAGGGAGTTGGTGATACACATCACTATACTACAAGGAGAGGCCCAGAAATTGCAGACTGGAAGCCTCTGAGACCCCAAGACAGTCCTTTCCTTTATGCCCAAAAGAATTTTTCTCCATGCCTCATCCAAGGCCACTAAAAGTCCCCTGAGCCCATTTCTCCTTAAGACCCTCCTCATGGGTGCAGAAAAACAGAAGAAAAGCCACCCTGTTTCCCAGTCCTGGCTAGCCCTCCCTGAGGGGAGCGCGGCTCCTGCCCTAGGACTCTGATATCCTCTCCAGGCTCCTATGCTACAGACCAGCCACCCTGGGACCAGATCTGGAGCAGCCAGATCTGGGGAAAACATGTATGAGGGAGGGAGGAAGGGTTTGGAGTCTAGACAGTACTTCATTGAGGCCACCTGTAGATTGCTTTGTCATCCACAAAATCCTTTATAACATGTATTATTTAATCCTCAACTAGCCCAGCAAGGTCAGAAACAGCCCATTTTGCACTAGAGGGAAGTGAGACCTAATGACTCACCTGAGCTAGAAGGCCTGGCTCACTGTCCAGAGCTCTGTCCCCCCTCAGCTGGCTGGAGGCCATAGGCCTTGGGTTGGGAGACCAAGGCCTGTGAAGCAGCTTTGAGGCAAGGAGGCAGCAAGGAGGGCTAGGCTTCAGACTGACATGGGACATGTCCCAGGTGAAGATGAGACTAGCCAAAGTGGTCCAGCTACTGAGGCCAGCTTGGTGGGAGCAATACAAGTTCTATACACCCAGCATCTCTTTTCCACCTTCTCCACACTCTCCAGTCCTTAAAATAACACTTAGCTGTCAACTGTGTAGCACAAGGCACCAGAAGCCACGGAGGGCCTCCACACTCCACCCAGACTCTGCCCAACCTCTGTGGGGGCTGCCACTGACCTCCAACTCATGGGTCAAATTCAACTGCCCACATAGGGCCACCAGAAGGGGAGAGGATGCTCTGCAACCCAACAGTTGATCATTACCGAGTGTTCCTGGGCTCTGGGCCTCACAAATCAAGCTCATCTACTCACTTCAGGCCTGTGAAGTAGATGCTGCCATCCCCATTTAACTGATGGGTAAACTGGAGTCCAGAGAGGGTAAGACACTTACCTGAGGGCACCCAGTAGTGGCATGACTAAATGAGAATCCAAGGGGGCCCCATGCAGCCTCCATGGTGTTCAACCCTAGGTAGCAGGAGTTCTTTGCAAGGCAGCCCTCTCTGTTCCCCTCTGCCCCCCGCCTCTTACAGTACCCTCCCCAAGGACATTCTTCAGTGTCCCAGTCCATGGACAAACAGCATTCAGTTTATCTCTGGAGTTAGAGCCCGCAGAGCATGGGCCTCATGTAGGCCACCTCCCAATGTCCCCCAGCCCATCCCAGCTCCACCTGGGAGCATGGCCTCCCAGCCTCCCTGCTGGCCCACCAGCAGCTTGGAGTCCAGAGAGGCCTCTCACTATGAGGGATGCACTAGGTCATTTGGAGATAACTCCTCTCCTCTGTCACTCCAGGGAATCCCGGACAGTCCCTTACTGCCCATGTCATTGCCTATTGGGCCTAGGTCAGGAGCAGGGGGCCTCTTAGGGATCCAGGGGGGTTGGGGCACCAGCTTGGGTGGGCAGCATGGGATAGGTGCCCCTGCCTCTCTCACCTTCATCCCCAGAGCAGGGAGCAAATGGCCATCTCATCTATCCCCAGGTCTGCACCAGCTCCAGATCACTTGGGAAGGTGTTGGGCCAGGCAGCCAGGACGGGAGAGGAGCCAGGGAGCTGGGTGCCTTACCTGCTTTCTGAAGCAGCCGCCCTGGGTGAGATCTGCCTCCCACACTGCCCTGAGTGGATGGAGCTAAGTGCCACCTAGGTTCAAAGAGAAAGCAGAAACCTTGCCCCTCACTGTCAGCACCAAGAGCCCAGCTCCTAGCTAAGGGGGCAGCAGGAAAATGGGTCAAATGTGGAGGCCAGGGGCTGAGTGTCTGCAGAATCTAATAGCAGAATTACAGCCTGGAAAGTGGGCCGAGGCCCCAAAGGGCACCAGCCGCTCAGGTGAATGTTTCAACCAGGGAACCAAGTGGCCACACAGATGGGCTGATGGGCTGGGTGTGGGTGAGAAGAGGGAGCTTCTGGGGAAGCAGGAGTTGAACAGGTCCCTGAAAGCCTTCACACCCTGCCAGACTCCATGAAGGAAAGGAGCCTTCAGAGAATTCTTCCAGCCCAGTGTAGATCAGGGAGGAAGGTAAGCTTCATCTGGTGGGCCCATGTTCTCTGGACCCCAGATGGCTCACAGAGTCCTGAAGAACCTAAATGAGACCTGTCCTGAGGACAGTCCACTGCAGGGGACTGGTGTTGGTCCTTGGTCTTTTGTTTTTGTTCTTTTTATTATGGTAAAAGCCACATAACATAAAACAATTTCAGCCATGTTAATATGTACGGTTCAGTGACATAAAATATATTCACACCCCAAAATATGTATAATTATTATATCAATAAAAATGCATTCACAGTGTTGTACAACTGTCACCATTATCTAGTTGTAGATGTTTTTATAACCCCCAATGGAGACACCATACCCACCCGGCAGTCTCTCCATTCCTCCCTCCCCCAACCCGGGCCACAAAGAATCTGCTTTCTGTTTCTCTAGATTTGCCAATTGTGGATATTTCAGACAGTGGAGTCAATCACACAATACAAGGTTCATCCACATTGTAGCACATATGGGGAAATCACTCCTTTTTATGGCTAAATGATGTTCCATTGCCTAGAGAAGCCACGATTTCTCTCTTCATTGTTTGGTGGCCTCTTGAGTTTTTCCCAAGTTATCATGAATGATGCTGCTATGAGCATGTAAAAGATTTTGTTTCAATTCTTGTGGATATGCACAATGGTGAAATTTCTGGGTCATATGATAATTGTTTGAGCAAGGAACCACAGTGGCTCTGCCATTTTACATTTGCAGGAGGTCTTTGTTTCTCTGCACCCTCACTTCGTACTGGTTGTTTGATCAGAGCCAACATAGCAGACATGTTGATCCTGGTTCTTAAAAGATTCAAGACCCCCCCCCCCAGCTTGTGAGCAGGGCCCTAGCAGCCCTCAGTGAGGGGCTGCTTGTCTGTCTGGAAGCTAAGTGCTTGAACTCAGAGAGATGCACACAGTAGGGACACTGCCACATGCTATGATGAGAACCGCACAAGCTAAGCATTCTCCCTTACCAAATGCCCCCTAGTCAATGCATTGGTGTCCCCTCCAATGAGCGCCCTCCAAAGGGCAGCTGGCAGCCTCCTTCCCTGCCCACTTTTCCTCTTACTTGCTGGTAAGCAAGTCACCATTCAGTTGCATTTGTTCCTTAATGTGTTTTTGACAATTCTTTTGTCATTGTATTTACTGTTTGTAATCTAATTAAATGTTGTATTAATGGATAACTCAGAAGTACACAAACAAGAAGAAATGTTTCTTATGAAAATTCAGTTGAATCCTTTGAAAGACATTATAAATGAGTCACAAAAGATAGCAGTCAAATAGGTGTTGGCAAGTCAAAGAGAACTAACTAGGGAGAGGGGATTGTCAAACTCTCAGGGGGGTTCTGCTTGGTGACTGCTTTACAAGGTCCTTTAAACTCATCCAGCACTTCACAGAATCCAGAGATGGACATGGGAGATGTGTTTCATCTCTGTGGGGGTCCCAAACATGGTGACTCAGAACTGAAGAGGATGGACATGTAGGAGAGACCTTAAGGAAGGCCAGTGACCATGCTTGCTCTTTGGAGGTTAAAATAACCTATATGTTATGGATTGATTTATCACCCCAAAAAGATAAGTTGAAGTCCTAACCCCTTAAGACCTGAGAATGTGGCCTTATTCCGAAATAGGGTCTTTGTAGATTAATTAAGTTAAGATGAGGCCATTAGGGTGGGCCCTAAGTCATTGTGACTGGTGTCCTTATAAGAAGAGAAGTGACAAAGAGACAGATAGCAAGAATGCCATGTGACAACAGATGCAGAGATTGGAGTGATACAGCTGCAAGCCAGGGTAGCCCCAAGTCATCCAGTCATCACCCAGGAAGAAGTAAGGATGGAAGCTACCCAAATTGTCTGAGAGAGCACAACTCAGCTCACACCTTGATTTCAGACTGTGTGTAGGTTAGGCTACCATAACAAGCACAATAGACTGGGGGCTTAAGAAGCAACAGACATTTATTTCTCACAGTTTTAGAGCCTGCAAAGTACAAAATCAAGGTGTTGACCAATTCAGTTGCTGGTGAGGATTCAGTTCCTGGTTTGCAAAGGGTCACCTTCTCTCGGTATTCTCCCAAGGCCAACAGGTATCATCATCCACATAGACAGGCAGGCACTAATCCCATAGGGAGGCCCCTGCTTCGTGACAGAATTACCTCCCAAAGTCCCACCACTAATGCCATCACATTGTGGGCTAGGCTTCCAAATATGAATTTTGAGGGACACAACATTCAATCCCTTGTTGATTTCTATGCCAACACAATGAATATCTATTTTTTAAGCCATGTGGTTGGTGATCATGTGGGGGTCTTTTGAAAGATTCCCCTCTTCAATCAACCTTTTCAGTGAACCCAGTCCTGATGGTTACCATCCACGTCCCTGAGTGAGCACTGTGTATAGGTTAGCCATAGGTTCTGCCACTCGACAGCCTGAATTTGGATCTGCTTCCTCTCCTTACCTGCCCTGTTCCTCAGTCCTCCGATAAATAAACTGAATCTCTCACTCACGCTACCCACACTGTTTCCACAGCATGACCGAGAACAGCATGAGGGACAGACAAGATTCCTGTCTTCATGGAGCTTGTGCCCCGCTAGTGGGAGCCAGAAAACCAAAAGGCAAACACCCGAATAACTAAAAACCTGAGCTAGCAAGAAGTGGTATGCAGAAGGTAAAACCTGAGACATGGGAGTGATGTGTAAGAATGGGACTACTTTTTTCTGGAAGAAGTGATGGGGATGGCGTTGGAGCCAAAGCCTGAATGACATGAATCAGCAGCAAGTCGCACGGGCCACGCCTTCAGGAGGCCTTGGGGCAGAGACAGAGCAGCAGGGCTAAGAGACTTCAAGCTGGGGCTGGGGGCTCTGATTGGGGTATAGTGGGGGTCCAGGAGTGGGGCATAAGCCTATGCTGTGTCCACACCACCACAAGCCCTGGAGACTTGACCACAGGGACAGAATCCCATCCTGCAGCTGTCCCAGTAAACCATGGGAAGCCAAGCACATAGGGCTGCTGTGCTGGTGGCTGGTGGCAGAGCTCACCTCTAGCAGGGAGGTTGTCACAGCATCAGAGGGAAAACTTGCTTAGCACCAGCTAGTGAGGGACAGAGGACAGCCACAGGTCAGCTGGGAGAGAATGGAAACCCAGATGATCAGCTCCAGCCCACACATCTCTCCCTTCTGGTTCTGGGGCCCCAGGGTACATCCTGTGTATACCACTGCTTTGACAATCCCACTCCTCAACTGCACTCTATCATGGGTGGCCTAGATAAGCCTGGATAGGACATCCTGGGTGACCTGTGAGAGAACATGGGCCACAGAGCTGGAGTAGAAACCCACCGAGCCAGCACCTGGGGCTCCTGACTCCAGATCCAGTGCTCACAGTTATTCAGGTTCTTTCTTTCCAGTTAGAAGTCTGTCTCACCTCTCTCAGAGGAGAGGCAAGGAGAATGGCATAAAATCCAGCTCAAAATGTTTGTGAGAAATCAAAGTCCAGTGATTTGACAGCACAAGAGTCCTCAACCTTCTTAGCTAAGACAGTCTGGGTTTCTCTGAGTCCCAGTTTACTCATTTGTGACTTGAGTATATTAGGGTAAGGTTAAGCTACTGTAACAAAGAGGCCCACAACAAGACAATGGCTAATGGTGGAAGATCATGCATCTTTCTCAGGTAACAGTCTTCGGTGAGCATCCCTGGTCACTGCTTTGTGCAGACATCCAGGGACCTGGCCTCCTCCACTTTCTCCCATTCCTTAAGACATTGTCCTTCTCATCATAGTCAAGCCAGGTCACAGTCCTGTCCTTGTTCTGACTTGTGAGAAAGAAAAGAGAGAGGAGACAAGCAGCTACACAACCTTTCACCACAGACCCTGATTTCTACTGGCAGGAACTTGGTTGCATGGCCATTCCTAACTGCAAGGAGGGCTGGAAATCAATTCTGGTCATGTACCAGTAGAAAGGAGGACTGACTTTGAAGGACAGCTTGCAGCCTCTGGCTGGGTGAGTGTAATAATAACTCTGTGAAAGGTCACAGTGAGTACAGATAAAAGTTTCTGGCACTTAGCAAGTGCTCAATAAAAGAACTCAACAGAAAAACCTATAAACAATAACAATAACAAAATAAAAAAACATAAAGGTGCTAGACATTGAACTCAGAGCTCAGGAGCCTAGACCCAATATCCCCATTTCTTTGCAGCTAAAGAAACGGACCCAGAGCAAATTTGATCTAGAATCCTGTCTGGAACCCTCAACCCCACCCACCCACCTACCTCTTACTTCAAATTACCTGCTGTATCCCAACTAGAGCCTGGGCAGAGAGTAGGTCTGGAACCTGTCTACCGAGACCAGGGTTGGGGAACATGGTCCTGAGAAGAACCTTTTACCCTACAGCAGTGTCCTTGGGCAGAGATGAAACAGGCTTTATGACTAGTTAGGTGTGGCCCTGGTTTCCAGGATAGGAGGCCAAGTTGCTCTGTGACAAAGAGCCACACCCCTACCCCTGCGAGAAGAATTGGACTATGGACAGTTGCTCCCTGGGGACAACACAGTAGGTGGCTGAGGAGGATGGTGTGCCTGGGTTTCCTCCTCCCCGTGGGCTGCCTCCTCCTCCTCAGCACCGGGGCCCAGGGGGAGTATGGTGTGGTCCATGTGGTGTCAGAGAACTGGAGCAAGGACTACTGTGTCCTCTTCAGCTCTGACTATGTCACCCTACCCCGGGACCTGCACCATGCCCCACTCCTGCCCCTGCATGATGGCACCAAGGCCTCCTGGTGCCCAGGTGAGGATTCCTTCCACCAGGCCCAGCCCAGCTCCTCCAAACAGCGGCCCCTCCGCCAGACCACCGCCATGGTTATGAGGGGTAACTGCAGCTTCCATGCCAAGGGCTGGCTGGCACAAGACCAAGGTGCCCATGGGCTGCTCATCGTCAGCCGGGTCAGCAACCAACAGTGCTCAGACACCACCCCAACATCCCGGGACCCCCGAAAGCCTTTGCCAGATCTCACCATCCCTGTGGTTGTACTCCGCTACACTGACATGATTGACATTCTCAGCCACACTCAGGGTGACACCGATGTCCGTGTGGCCATGTACGCCCCTCCAGAGCCCGTCATTGACTACAACATGGTGGTCATTTTCATCCTGGCGGTGGGCACCGTGGCCGTGGGTGGCTACTGGGCCGGACTGATGGAGGCCGATCGGCTTCAGCGACGCCGGGCCCGGGGAGGAGGGGGGCCTGGCGGTCAGAATCAGCCACAAGCAGTAGCAGCCGAGGGGTCCCAGGTGGCCCAGGAAGATGAAAATGATGAGGACACACCAGTGGAATTTACACCAGCCATGACGGGCGCTGTGGTCACCATGTCCTGTTCCATAATGGTACTACTCTACTTCTTCTATGACTGTTTCATCTATGTCATGATTGGGATCTTTGGTCTTGGTGCCAGCATGGGTCTCTACAGCTGCCTGGCACCCCTGGCATGCTATCTGCCCTTGTGGCATTGTCAGTTGCCTCTGCCTGGCCGCCGTGCCTATCTGCAGCTACCACTGCTGCTGCTGGCAGGACTGTGCACCACTGTGACAATCCTCTGGGTCACCTACCGCAATGAGGACCGCTGGGCATGGTTCCTGCAGGACCTGTTGGGTGTAGCCTATTGCCTTTTCGTTCTGCGGCATGTGCGGCTGCCCACACTCAAGAACTGTGCCTCTTTCTTGCTGGCACTGCTGGCCTTTGATGTCTTCTTTGTCTTTGTCACACCTCTCTTCACCAAGTCTGGTGAGAGCATCATGGTGGAGGTTGCATTAGGCCCGGCAGATTCTTCAAGCCACGAGCGACTGCCCATGGTGCTCAAAGTGCCCCGTCTCAGCTTCTCGGCCTTGACACTGTGTGACCAGCCCTTCTCCATCCTTGGCTTTGGTGACATCATGGTCCCTGGCTTCCTGGTTGCCTACTGTCACCGCTTTGATGTGCACATCCACTCCCGCCCAGTCTACTTTGTGACCTGCACCATGGCCTATGCTGTGGGCCTTCTGGTCACCTTTGTGGCCATGGTCCTTATGGAGATGGGCCAGCCCGCCCTTCTGTACTTAGTGTCCAGCACCTTACTCACCAGTCTGGGGATGGCTGCCTGCCGCCAAGAGCTTACCCTCTTCTGGACCGGCCAGGGCAAAACCAAGACATCTGACCAGCCTGTGCTAGGGCACTGTGATGTTCCTGCAGCCAGCTCCAAGCAGAAGAAGGATGGCACAGCAGATGGCCACACAGCCAGCAAGGCTGAGGGGGCCACTGACCAAGGGGCAGGGGACTCAGACAGCAACCTCGCAGAAGACATGGCTGAGATGGTCGCCATGTCTGAGGATGAAGCCACCAGTCCAGAGGGCCACAGTGAGAGCTCTGAGGGCTGGAGCGATGCCAACTTGGATCCTGATGAACTGTTCCCTAACTCTCCAGGGGCCTCAGAGGAGCTGATGCCACTCGTGCCCATGGCCATGTTGATACCGGTGATCCCACTGATGGCACCGCCCTCGGAGCTGGGTCACATCCACACCCAGGCCCAGACCCATGATGCTGGCCTGCCTTGGATGGGGCTGCACAAGAGGAAGGGTTTGAAGGTAAAGAAGAGCATGGCGACCCAGGCTCCCCTGTGAACTGGAGCCTCTGGGCTCTGTGCCTCTAACAGGCATGGCAGAACACTGGAGAGCAAAGCCACGCGTGGCAAGAAGAGATCAGGGCATTAGAGAAATTCCATGTCTACCCGAGGAGACTTTTTGCTTGTTAGGACTATAAAAGGGACAGTGGCCCCAGAAGAAGTCTGTGCAAGGTCTGGAGATCTAGGGCGGGGGGGAGGGTACGTGGGAGTTGGTACCACCCCCAAATTGTTCAGAGGAGAAACAGGCTCAGAGAGGGCACAAGTTCATTGGGAAGGTCACGATTTGCTCATGGGGCTCACTGGGCAGCTACTTCCCCTCTCCCTTACTGCCCAGCCCCTCAAGTCAGAACCCCAGATCCTTTGCCTAGCTGCTAGCCCCCCATTCTGTCCCCACCACCCCCAGCCTCATTGCCCATGCTCTCCCTGTGCTCAGGTCAATGGGACCATTACTATTCCTTGATTCCTCCACATCCCCTCCCTCTCTCTTTGCACATGCTACTCCCTTAGCTGGAATGCCCTTCCCACCCTAGACAGAAATACCCCAACCCAAATTCCTGGCTCACTCGAAAATTCCTAGGTATACTTCAAGCCTCAGCTCACATCTATTTTGTTGAACATGTGCACTTAAAGCCTAGCATGTTCCTGTACTCACCACCCATTCCATCCAGAGATATGGAGTATGCCTCTGCTGTGTGCCTGTCCTTGAGGTGGGCACAGGGGGACGCCCCTGACAATTTGGAGGAAGGGTGAGGACACAGGACAAACAGAACCTGAGAATTGTCTTAAAGGGGGAAAGGAGGAGGAAAGAGGTTGGGGCTAGGGTAGAGAGCAGAGCAGACCACAGCTCTAGTTCCCACGTGACCTCACTGACTCTGGGTAATGGGCAAATTGTCTCATCTGCAAAATGAGACTTATTACTATGCCCCCTAGAGGCAGGGGCACGGACAAGATGACCTCCTGAGGACCTTACAGTGTTTTAAGCTGTACAGTGTGTTTACATGTTGCTTGATGAGCGCAAAATACTGTGGAACAAGAAGCTTCCTGAAAAAGGAAGGGGAGCCATATCCCAAAAGGCAAGTGTGGCAGAATGGCTAGGGTCCTAGAGCCAGGCTGTGCACAGGAAATCCTGGCTTGACCACTGAGTTAGAGTATGTCATTGAGCAAGTTTCTTTTAACTTCTCACTGCTTGGTTTGCTAAAAGACCTACCATGGCATTATCAATAAATTTGAGTGAGGTAGCCATCAGAAAACGAGGACAATGGCCTACAGGGAAGAAGAGCAGAATCAAATCCAACTCCTGCAAGGACTCTTTCTGGTCACCTCCCCTCTCTCCCACCACACCTCCCTACTAGCAGAAGCATGCGTTGGACCCCACCACACCCGCTTTCCCACCTCCTGGTCCCTCCTGCATTTCCTCCACCTGGAATGTTCTTGCTTCCTCCCAACCCTGCTATTCACTCCCAGAACTTGACCCAGCTGGTTCCTCCTTCTCCCAGCCCTTGCTCAGACATCACCTCGGTCACAATACCGTTCTACTTGCTCCTTGGTCTTCTTGTCCTCAGCAGAACAACTCAGCTTCATGAGGGCAGGGAGCTCTTTCGTCCTGTTTACCTGTGTAGTTTCAGGACCAAGGACAGAGCTTGACACATCCTAGATGCTTGCCTTATGTTTGTTTAAGGAATGAATGAATGAATGAACTAATGAACTAATGAATGAGTGAATGAGCAAATGAGGAGCTGACCTCACTTAACTGTAGAGGAAAGGGGACACCATGAGGGAAGGCCCTGCTTCCCAGGCCACCTCATCGGGGTTCTGCAGGGCCTTGGTCTGAGTGGGTCTGGTTTGACCCTGGGGTGGGGGTAAGGGACCAACAAGGCAAGATTGCAGGGGACGGGCACCTCAAAACCCCACTCTCAGGAAAGAAGTACATCCTTTCCATACAGTGGCTGCAGGCCCTTCCAGACAAGAGAATAGGGATGCACTTGGGCCAGGACACTGACTGGAGGTGTTGGCAGCCCCTCCCACTGTGGTCAGCAGCCATCTGGCCTAGACAGAGGGGCCGCCACAGGCCCTGGCTCACCCCCAGACTGGGCAGCCTCCCCACTGCTGACCTGCGTCACTGGGCTTGCAGGGCAGGCTACACATTTGCCAGGCCCAAGAGGAAGAGATGGACACATTTCAGGTCTCTCACCCCCTAGGCCCAGGCCAGGAGTTTTCTCCCTCTCAGGCATTCACAGCAGCATGGCTCCGAGGACACTGGCCAGAGGTGATGCCAGTCTCCAAGGAGAGGCATTTCAGAACAGGTTTGGACAGAAAGATCACCCATTTCCCTACCACCAGAGGCCTGATGGGCAGGTAAGGAATGAGGGGGCTGAATTTGCTTCTGTGACCCCCTTTCCTACAGCTTGGTGTATATTATTTAGGCAGTAGAATTAGAGAACCCTGAGAACAGGCCTGAGGTGAATGATAATCCAGAGTGTGGTGGACATTGGGGGCTCTGGATTCACCCCCAGCACAGCCCAAGCTCTTCCCCCTACTTGGAAATCCTGGGTGGGGGTTGCTCTATGAGGACAGTTCCAGCTTCTGGGGCTCCCTGGGCCTCCACTGACCCAAAGTTGGGTCCACTCTCCCTCACTACCCTGCATGCCTACCTTCCTCACAGGTGCTTTCCCAGAGCCTACACCCTTGTGCCTTCTGCCCACGACGCTCCTGAGCCTCATTCCAAGGTGCAGAGAACTGGGGAAACTAGGTTCCCCCACACACCTGCTCCCACAAGTTCCTCTGCCCTCCCAGGAGGAGTGGGTGGGGACTGGGGTTGAGGGAGTGCCAGGGCCTTTCTCTGCCCAGTACTCATCAGCAACTGTGCCCACTACATATATGGGGCTAGGTGAAGGCTCTGGGCAGAATTGGCAGCCTAGGGTGTTTAGACAGACAGGCACCCAAGCATGGTTGTGTCACATTAGAGGTGGGGGGGCGGTACCTGCTGAAAATGTGATTCCTGGGCTCTGGGCTCTGATTTGGCAGGCTGAGTGGAACCAGGCATCTGTGAGTTCAAGGGACTCCCACCCTGGCCTCAGGCTGAGCACCTTCAGAGTTTGACCCTCATCAAGCAGGACATGGGAGGAGAAAGACCAGGTGTCAATGTTGAGGGCCCAGGGAAGCCCTTGCCTTCCATCTTGGCATACACATCCAGCCTGGCCCCTGATAGGCTCCCATCCTTGGACCGTGGGCCACCTAACCACACTTCTCTGGTCAATCTTGGGGCAGGAGATTGAGCCAATTTTACCAACCATCCAACTATCTTCACCCCTCCCCTTCACCCTAGAGTGTTCTGACCCTGAGGCAGAGGCTGTCTTGTTTTGTTCATTGTGCGTTGGCCTGACACATCGCACATGCTTAATAAAACATCTGTTGAATGAATCTACAAGATGAATGAATGTCTTGCTTATTAGTTATGTGACCTTGGGGACACAAAATGTTCTTGTCTATGAAAAGGGCATAGTAGCACCACCTGGCCTGGGGTTTGTGTTAAGTATTAAACCATCTGGGAAAGAGCTGAGCCCTATGCCTGGTGTGGATCCAGACAGCTTGGTGCTGCTGCTGCTCTTGGGTGTCACCTGCTTCTGTGCAAAGGGCTCCTTTTAGCTATGTGCCCTTCCTCACTTTGCAGTCCCCTCTCCAGAGACCAGTCTGAGTCCAAGTGGCTGGACCAAGCTGCCACCTACAGCCCAGAGAAAGAGCCAAGAGCTGGCAGCCTCAACCTGAATACCAGAAGGATACAGGACACTGCACATGTGCACACACACATGTACACATGCACACAGGCACATGTCCACACTGCACACTCCACTCAGGCACACAGGCACACACGCACCTGCACTGAACAGCCTGCCCTTCCCCACAGGCCTTCCCTGGGCCCACAGGAGTGGGGGTGCCACCAGTCTCTGTATTTTCCACCCCAAGAGCAGGTGGTCCAGGTCCCTACCTTTCCTGATGGGGCAGACAATGCTTCAAGAGATGACTCACTGCCCAGGAGGGCATGGGCTGACAGCCTCTTCCAGGGTCCACTTCTGCTTTCCAGTCTAGAGATGTGGGTTTTGGGGATATGTAGGGAGATCCATAGGGGATCCAGCCAGATAATGGCTGGGCAACAGTGGCACTAGGGCTGACCTTTTCTACCCAGAGTGGCTCCCTCTAACAGTGTTTTTTGCTCAAATCCCTACCAGTGGGATGGAGGATCCTGGGGCAGGCCAATGGCATTCCGAGAAACCTAAGGAGGGCAAAGACAGGAGAAATGTCTCAAATGCCCAGAACTGGCCTGCATTCTTTCCTTTTGGGGCCTCGTTCAATCCCAGAAAGAACTACAAGGGTCTTGGCCCTTTTTTTTTTTTTTTTTTAGTTGATGAAAGTGTTTGGTGCTATAGCAGTGAGAACTAGCAAGCACCTGTAGGATGCTCTAATCCACAGATGAGAAAAGGAAAGCCCAAGAGGGTCAGGGCCTGCCCAAAATCACACAGCAGTCAGACAGCAAAAACAAAATAAAAAACTGGTCTCCTGCCTCCAAACCCAGCAGTTCAAATCATCTCTCATTCTCAACACACCATCCCCAGGAGAACACTGGGTCCACTTACTGCCTTGCCTTGCTCCCCTCAGTAAGTTTAGCCCTCATTCTCATTGATAAAGGTGTGTGATTATGCATCAGGCACCTCCACAGCTAGAGATGGAGGACACAGCTGGATTCTGAGTCCCTGAGACCTGGGCTCAAAGTCCAGCATCTCTTTCATTTGCCTTGTGATACTGGACAGTTCCTGCATTTTTGCCGCAACCTTGACGTGTGGGCGCTCCTGTGCTGCCACCTGCTGGTCAGTAAGATAAGAGCAAGCAGTTGCACACTGCACAGGGAACTTTGGAATAATTATAATCAGAATATATATATATATATATATATATATATATATATATTAAGCTGTCAGTCACTCCACACTCCTAGGAGGAGAG